CCCCACCCCAAGGCAACACCTGCGTGTCCTTGCTAATTGGCATGTGCACATGCAAGCATACAGGTCAATGTGCTCCTTTTCTATCTTCTTTTGGTCAGAGACTCTTCTGTGAGTCTAAAAACGCTCTGGGCTTTCCCCTATTTTCCTGTGTAAAATAGGGTACACAGGAAAAAGTAATGTACAATTTCAGGGGTTTACACACACTCTATGGCCCGTTTTGTCCTACTCAACAAGGGATTCTGGTTGTGTCTTCCAAGTAACTGCATCTGGCCACATCCTATCTCCTTAACACTATCCCCCCACATACACACATCCCCAGCTGCCGGGGTCTTCACAAGACCTCAGCACAGGAGCTCTTCTAAGGCCTTGATAAAACGGCTGAGGCAGGCCAGCCATTCTGTGCCTTTTTTCCATAATTGCCTATTATATTTAGAATAACATGAGATCTAAACTCTTAACTTTGCCTGGAAGGCCCTCCATGTATGGTCTGACCTGAGCCTCCCTCCTGGTCTTATCTGACCACTATTATCCTCTGCCCTATCACACTGCCCTAGCCATGCCCACCCTCTGTCTGTTCCCTATTGAACATGTCAAACCAGGTCCCACTGCAGGGCCTTTGTGTAAGCTGTTCCCTCTGCTGGAAACTGTGTCCCCTGAGAGTTGTTGGTTCCTTCTGGTGTCAGCACAAAGGGCATACCTCTGAGAAGGCTTTCCCAACTACTTTACCTGGTGCTGTGCCCCCACCACCAGCACTCTCCTCCTATCACTTCATCCTATTTTATTGTCCTCAGGGTGCTTCCCACTTCTGAAATGATCTTATTTTTTCAGTCACTTACTTGCGTGTCTGCCCCCCACTGGGGTGGGGGCTCTGCAAAGTCAGTGGCTTGTCAGTCACATCTCCAGCGCCTAGAACAGTGCCTGGCACACACTACACACTCACTAAATATCTGTGGACTGAGGAAAGAATCTTGGTGGAGTTTAGATAAAAATCTTGACTCATGCGCCATCCCACCAAGGCAGCTCCAAGCAGTCTCTGGCTCCTGGTCCAGGCAAAATTCCTGCCTTCCCTCATTTCTCTAGTCCCGGCTGTCCAGCCCTTTCCCCAGATCTCTGGAGCCCATCCCTCCCAATCAGCATCTTAACAAAAACTCTTTTGTGATTTTATGCCTGGGGGATTTCATCTGCGTCAATTTGGCTTCTGCAGCTCCAGCTCAGCTGAGTCCAAAGGTCTGATCAGCGTTTCCAGTGAAGCAGCCAGCAACCCTGTAGTCGGAGGGCTCAGAGCTCCACCCCAGGGGGAACCAGGGAACTGACGGAGGCCTGAGGCCGGTGTGGGCCTCCACCCCCTGCCCTTTCATTCCTGGGTCTCATGGAAATCAATCAAGACCAGCCAAACAAGGAAAGCAAAGGCTATGTATTCAGAGCTTGCTATAGTCAGCCACGGTCACTCGTGTTTTGGCAGAGACGGAAAGGCAGGGGGAGGAGGGGAAAAGCTCTAGAGTGGACGAGAGCGGGGAGCTTCAGGTGTGCCCTCAGGGAGGCTGTTGGCATGGGGACAGCGTAGGCAGGCTGCCTAGCATCCCGGCATCCTGGTTGGGGTGCATACTTGGCCTTCTCTGGTTGGTCCTAAGTTGAAATGAGGACAAAAATTAAGGAAGCTGGCAGTATTAATCAGGTCCTGGCCAGGCTGGCCGAGTGGAGCGCTGGTTAAGAGCTCACTTGGGACGCAAGCTCTGAGCAGCAGGGCCGCGGTTCGGATCCCACATGAGGGCCAGTGACTCTGTCCTCTACAGCTAAGATGGTGAACAACAGCTCGACCTGGAGCTGGGCTGTCATGAGCTGCCGGTGATGGCATGGGTTGCAGTGGGTTGCCATGAGCTACCGTGAGTGGTTGGTAGCCAGCGTGAGTGGCCCTGAGCCACCGTGAGCGGCCATCCAGAGACCGGCGACCGATCTGCCTCATTCGGGAAGAGCGCAATGATAATACCAACATGGGCCAGTGAAGCCCATGACTAGACTGAAGAACTAAAGGACTGCAACTTGTCTGTTCCCCCTCCCCAATTCCCTAACTCTGTTCCTTTCCTCAATAAAAAAAAAAAAAAAATCTTAAAAAAAAAAATCAGATCCTGGCCAAGTTGAGCCAATTGTTCCAGAAGCTATTGTTTCACTTCCCGGATTGTTACTAGAGATAGTCTGACGTCCTACCTATCTGACATACAGATTTATACGGTTTATTCTAGATAAGGAGTTGGTTTCCTGGGCAGGTGGCTGCCAGCTGTGGATCAGAGTCCTAGTTTTCCATGTGGCCTGGCTCGGTCTTAGGCTGCAGTGCAGGTCAGCCTTTCGGTACCCTCCTTTACTTCCCTTAAACATATGCATGCCTTGGAATAGTAGAATCATCCAGTATTCCATTTCCTTCATTCAGCAGCTCTCTAGAGAAGGCACTCTGGGCAAACGACGGTGACAGGTACAGCAAAAGGCATAGGGCTGGGCAATCCCTGTGCCCATCAGTGGTCTGGTGAGGGAGGCGGGGCTGCCGTGACTACACAGCTGTGCACCGTGTCCCACCACTGGGTCACACAGGGAGTGCTAATTAAGACAATTAGGAAGGCTTTATGGTCAGTGTGGAGTTTCACCAGTGGGGCTGCTACAGACGGAAACGGGAGAGGAAAGGGGCGCTGTGAGGAGGGGCCTGAGGGTCAGTCACTTACTCTCCTTGGGTCTCATTCTTCACCCCACAGAGCCACTGTGAGGCCGGCGCGGGGTGTGTGAAGGTGCTTTGTGGGCTGTGAAGGTTTCATTGTGAGGAAAAGCCATGGGAGCCAGCTGGAAAGGGCCTCTCTCATCAGCACAAACCTGAATGTACCTAGGTAATAAAAAAAAAATTAAAAATAATAATAATAATAATAATAATACCAGCATTTAGTGAGTTTTGAGTCACTGCTCTGAGCTCGCATAGAACCCCTACAACAATCCTATGGGATAGTTATTATTATTATCTCCATCTTATAGGACAGTAAACCGAGGCACAGAGCAGTTAAGAAACTTGCCCAGGTTCACACAGTAAGTATCAGGGGAGAGGAGAGAAAGCTTAAACTGTGTGCTTTGCATAAGACGAGCTGCTACTATGCTCCCCTAAATGCTGCCTTTGTCCTTGAATGTGTCTGCTGACACACATTAATCATTAGTTATAATAAAAATCAGCCCTACTAAGTGCCAGGCATGGTCTTAAGCATTTGCGTGTATTAACTCATTTAGTCTTTACAATGGCGCTCTGAATAAGCAACTGCAATGACCATTCCCATTTTATAGAAAGAAGACAGAGGAGCCAAGTGACACAGCCCAGGCCTCTGTCTGACCTTGGAGTCTAAATGTCTCCCACTGTGACACGCCACCTCTTGTCAATACGCATGACTGTGATGACCCATCAGTCCAGCCCTGATCCACATAGTAGGTCCACACAGTGGCCCATGGCTAGGAGCCACCCCAAGTCAGTGGACTTTACTTTTCTGGGTTTCATACCACTTAGAGAATCTAGTGGAAGCTGTAGACACTCTCCCCACCAAAATGTACACACTTTAGGAAGCTCACAGATCCCCCTCAAGCCTTTCCATTGCAAGTGGGTGATGGCGGAAGACTTCTGGGGTTAGGGCTTCAGCCAAGGGATAATCTCCAGTCTGGAAAGAAAAGGCAAGCCTTTGCTCTCTGAAGGTTTCATTTATCGAGGGAGTGGAAACAAAATTCCGCGTCTCCTTTTATTTGCTTCACCAGAGAACAGAACAGAAAGCAGCCTGTTCTGACAGCCCCCATCTTTGGCCCAGTCTCATTACCCAACTTCTGTCCCACCCCCAGGCAGCTGAACCCTGCTGGAGGAAATCTCCTCACTCTGCTGATGTATGCCAACGAACAGTTATGGCTTCGAATCCCAGCTGGGTCTTTAACACTACTTGGCGCCTCTTGTACCAGATCAACACAAACCCAGTTCTGACGATGGCCATTCCAACCCTCCTCTAATGATTCTTCGAGCTTTCAAAGTTTTCGTGTGTTAGCAGGAGCACAACTACACGCATTTCAATTCACATCCTCTGAGATTTTTATCCAGTTTCTCCCTCCACTTGTGCTCTTGATTCTTGTGTTTATTTGGATACTTATTTCTCTAGAGGCTGCCATGCCTGGCACAGAGCTGAGCTCTGGGATACCAACCATGGTCTCTGTTCTCATGGATCTTACAGCCCAGAGAGAAAGACTGTCGTTCAACAAATAATTACAATACAATGAGAGTTACTAAAGGGAAAGTAGAGGGTATTATCAAATGTGTTGACCTGGGGGATTCAGGAAGGCCTCCCTGAGGAAGTGACATTTAAAGCTGAGTCTTGAAGGATGACATGTCAGTTACAAGTGCTTTGGGCTGCACATGACACAAAACCGAACAGTGCAACCAGGAGGATGTTTACTGTTTCCTTGAGAAGCCTGGAAGCAAAGGCTTCCAGGGTTTTAAGTGGCTCAACAATATCGAGAGCCATGAGTTGACATCTCTGCCATTTTCTGGGCTTTTCCCTCAGTCATTTGTCAGCTGCAGTCAGGGCTGTCACAGATTCAAGTGTGACTTCCTTACATAACATCATCCCAAAACAAAGAGGAGAGAAAGGGCTCTGATTCCCAAACAGCTGTCTTTAAAATTCATCCACAAGTTCCCAGGAGTTTTCTTTTTGTGTCTTTTTACCCTAGAATGGGTCCTATGCCCACCTCAGACAGGCAAAGAGGAAGGGGGTTACCATGATTGACTTAGACCAATCATGATTTATCCCAAAGCACAGTGAGGACCTTACTTCCTCTGAAGATACTGCGGCCTACTGGACCCCTCAATTGAGGGTGAAAGGGACCACCAATTCTGGATATGGAAGCCTAGATAATTCAAACAAACCCTTATACTGACAAAAACTTAAAAAAAGAAAAATTGAAAAGTCATCTTAGAAGCATCAGAGAAGTGACAGGATTTGAGGAACTGCTGAATTGAAATACTGAGCCACTGAAGAGGACGGGGAAGTGCAGAAGTGACGACTTCTTTGAAAGCTGTTTATGCCTTCGGGATTTTTATTCTGGGAAAGTCTGAGCTGCAATTCTGGCATCTTCAAGTGGCTAGGGTGAAAGTTTCAGAGACGGAGCCCTGCAAGGATGAGGACCTTAGCGAATGTTTCTCTGCTCTGGGTGTGATGCTGAGAGGAAGCATGCGAGGTGTAAGAGGGACCCAGGACATCTCAAGCCTTGAACTTGATTTAAGGTGGTTCCCAATTGCTAGTGCCTTCAGGAACCAGCAAAAAAGTAAGTGCTCTTTAGAGGAAGACAATATTAATATTATCTTGAGTCTCGAGGCATTTCTATAAATAACTTTTCAAAAACAATGTCTAGCACACAAAGATAACCCAAGGATGTAAGATAGCATGAATAAGAACACAGATATAATACATAACAGAAATAGACTTACAGGGTCTCTGGTATTAAAATAATCGGCATAGATTACAAAAGAAGTATGCTTGTATGTTCAAAAAATAAAAGCCAAGAAAGGAAAATTTGGCTGAGAACTTAAAAAAAAATGATATAGCAAATTTAGACAGGGAAAAAAAATAAATTCTGGAATTTAAACTTACAGTAACCAAAATTAAGAACTGAAATTACTGGAGTAATTCAGTCAGAAGAAAATATCCAGAATGATGCATAATAGAGTAAAAAGATAGAAAATGCAGAGGAGTGGGTAAGAGACATGGATGCCACCGTGAACAGGTCTAAATAGAGTTCCATAAGGAAAGGAAAGAATGAATGGACACAGGCAATAGTTGAAGAAAAAATGGCTCAAAAAGTTCAAGAATTGATGAAACACTCCAAAGCATACATTGAAGAATCCAACAAATCCTAAGTAGGATTAAAACAAAACAAAACAAAACAAAACAAAAAAGCCTACAGCCTTACATATGATAGTGAAGTTGCAGGAAAGCAAAGACAGAAAATATAGTAAAAGCAGTCAGAACAAAACAGACAAATTACCTTCAAATGCCAGAACATTTGGAGGACTGACACTTCCTGATTTCAAAGCTTACTCTAAAGGTACAATAATCATAGGGTAGACATAATATAGGCCAATGGGGTAGATTTCAGAGTCCAGATTAAATCCTCACATTTACGATCAATTGATTTTCCACATGGGTACCCAAAATTCAATGGGGAAAGAATAGTCTTTTCCACAAATGGTTCTGGGACAACTGTTTATCCACATACAAATGAATGAAATTGGACCCCTATCTTATGTCATGTAAGTGAATTACACTCAGTGAAGCGGTTACCAAAAATTAACTCAAAATGGGTCAGACTTAAGCTAAAATGATACAATTCTTAGAAGGAAACAAACATATGAGTAAATCTTCATGACTTTGAGTTAAGCAATGTTTTTCTAGATACGACACCAAAAGCATAAGCAACTAGAGAAAAAATAGATTCGTTGGACTATGTGAAAATGAAAAGCTTTTGTACTTCAAAAGATACCATCACAAAAGTGAAAAGGCAATCCAGAGAATGTGAGGACATATTTTCAAATCATCTGTGGGATAAGAGACTTTTACCTAGACTATATA